CTAAGATCAGCGCCATATAGATAGAATCTATCTATATGGCGCTGGCTAAGATAAGATAACTTTAACAAGATGCCTGTGTGCTTAGTACCAGGTTGTTCATACCAGCAATGGGTCTTGCTCGTTCTTTCGCTTCCCGTCTGATGAAAGGACTAGGAGTGTCTGGATCAAGCTAGCTAGTAGCTAGCACGTTAGTTAGCATTACAGCCTTGTCATTTGTATTAGCCTTAACATGAAGTAACATTAAGTAACCCAAAATGTTAAACAGTAAGAGTAGTAGTCATATTTCGTGAACCCTTTGAAGAGTACTGTCACACCGGTGTGATCATTCTATAATACACAATGTAAGGCTGGGGGAGAAATGCTAACGCTAACGCTAGCGATCTTCTCTACTTCATGCTATCTGCACAAATGGTTGACATTAAACATTAAAACGACCAGGCAGTTCAGAGAGAATCAAAGGAAGGCAGGCAGGCAGCTTTGCATGACTTTCTTCAGGACGTGTTTCATTGTGGTGATAGTGAGGGTAGTCAATCGTTTTGTTGACAAAAGTTAGTGTGACGGCCATCTTGGTGACGTGTGTTGTTGACCAGAGATGTAGTTCATTGAGCGTTTCACACAAACAAATGTGTTACTTCACAGTTTTACGACACATTTTTTTTTTTTTGACTTGCAAAATTATCTTTTAAATTGACAAACATCATATGTGTAATTTGTGGCACAATTCAAACGGGATCGAAAGATAATCTTTCTCTCTCCATTGACTTCAATACATAATTTTTCCGAAATAAGGTCCCATGGAGGTCCACCGGAAGGGGAGGGACTTCGCCATCCATGGTACTTACCCAGTCACAAAAGTAACATATTATATCTTATATTAATATATATATAATTCTGATGTCTGTGGTTATTTAAACATTCCATGATAAACGTTATTTCAGCGTCAATAAATGAGTATTAATCCCAGTGTGTTTAGTGTACAACATCACATGTCATTTCACCTTCAATTCACGGTTTTCACAACGTTAGCCACATGCTAATGCTAACCGGAAATTAAGACCTTTCAGAATAAAAGTGTTAAATTAATAGTTAGTGTGAACTTCTGTTTTTTTCAGAATAAAACTGCTTTAGATTAAAACCCTGTATTTCATTTAAATTACGTCATATCAACATTGATTTTAATTTCTTACAGTAGGAGAGGTTTTGGGGTTTAGGTTTGGGAGGGAGGAAGGAAGATTAGGATTAGGTAAAAAGGTAGGGAGTGGTTAGGGTTAGGATGGGGGGAAGGGAAGGGTTAGATTGAAGGGAGGGAAGAGAACTGCTACCGGGAAACAGGATGCAATGCGTCATCTGTGAAGCTCCGCCCACGTTGAGCTCCCGCCCACATTGAGCTCATTGAGGCATTACGCACTGCATTGAGGTATGGAGGACGGAACATGACTTAAGTATAAATAAATAAATGTGTAAATAAATGTATGAAGAAATACAGGAATAAATAAATAAATACGTAAATAAATAAATAAATACAGGAATAAACAAATAGAGGAATAAATAAATGACGAAATAAATACATAAATAAATAAATGTTGAAATAAATACACAAATAAATAAATAAAATAATAAATAAATGCATAAATAAATATGGAAATAAATACACCAATGTATAAATAAATAAATAAAAGTCGAAAATAAAACAGAACACACGTTATTATATATCTTTCATATATTTCTACATTTACGCGACATACATTTATTTATTTATGTGTCCGTATGCTAATGAGGTGGGCGGTCCTAACCTCATTCTGAAGCAGGATTCGCCAATTGTTGGAGCCAGGCAGAAGCAAGAGATTTGTGGCAAGTCACATCTGTTCATTCTGTGTACAGTGTACACCCACAGCAACTCGCTAATAATGGCTTCTTTATAACCCATAAATAATCCTTACAACTGTGGATAAACCATGGATGTATAAAGATAAGGGCTAAACAGTAAAGCTCCTGCATTCGAATCAGCGCAGTTAGCCAGGCGTTAGTATAGCCCTCTGCCAGAAATGATCACACACTCCTGTAACCAATCCTGCTTCAGACTGAGGTCGACCGCAGCGGAGAAACTGTGACGCGCTGGGACGACTGGGACGGCTGCTAGTGGAGCCTCGCAGCAACTCTGCTTTCTGCACCACAATCTGGTGCTGCTGAATTGGGACTACTAAATGAGTGAGACTCAAATATCAGAAGTTCAGAACAAGTTTTAGTAGTTTTTATTTTATTTGTACTTCATTTACTTTACTCAGGGTCACAGAGAGGAAACCAGTTTTAAGATGTTGAAAAGTTCATTAAACATAAAAAGGCATTTCATAGAAGTTCTGTTATTCTACATTTTGACATCAAGATTTTCTGATTTTACTGCAAATGTATATCGGTTCCAAATATCGGTTATCGGTCTCCTTGATTACTAATAATCGGTATCGGCCTTGAAAAAGCCATATCGGTCGATCCCTAGTATAAACTGAATTTGCACAAGAGTGAACTCTTTGCTGTTAATAGCGTGGCACTTGCGTTTGAATATATCACCCTTCCTTTTATGGTGGTGCAAGATAGGTTTACTTACTTTGACATTACAGTTACTAGATAATATAAGTTACTTTACTTTCACTCTGTTAAATCAGACGTAGTGGTCCCCCCTTTCTGCGTCCTTGGTAGGCCATATTAATTATATAATGATGACTATTCTCCCTGAATTCCTGTACCTTTTCCAAATGATACCAGTTTTCATTTCTAAATCATTCTTTGACTTCATCTTATATTTGGAGGGCACTTAGAACTGCTCGTATTACTAATAACTCAAATTGTAATCCGATTGCTAGACCAACAGTGAGGGTCTAGCAATTGTATTTTATAGTTTTTGCATAATATATCATTTTGTTCATTGGTTTGTTAAACATATATTACTTAAAAATCAGTTTTTTTTAAATATCGTTATATTCTTTTTTTTCATGCATGAAGATGAAAATATCCTTAGTTTGTTGTAATTCATGCATGAAGGAGTTCATAAATCACACACTGATGGAACATCACTATATTGTAATTATTTGTATTGGCTTTTTCTAAGAAAAAGGTTCGGGGTCGGTCAGGGGGTACTTGGCTGAGAAGATGTTTCAAAAGGGGGTACATTACTGAAAGAAGTTTGAGAAGCACTGCTCTAGGGGGGTTTTTAAATATTGAAGTTAAATGCATCAATCTGGTGCACCTTGAGAGCAACATGAAGAGATCTATGGATACATCTCTCAACACCCATATGAAACAGACCTGTAAACAGATTTACTTTTTCTTTATGGATATTTTACAAATCACTCCCCTTTTAAACTGTATTCTTGTTTTACTGTCATATAGTATTTCATACCTGTTTTTCATGTATTACTCTGACTGACATCACATACATCGTAGCATTAAAGTTCACAGTTTAATTTTAATTTTTTTTTTTTTATAAATAATAAAAAACGTGTTTATTGGGGGAGGGCAGGAATGTCAAATGGGAGGGCCTGGCGCTCACTCAAACAAAATGCGCTCGTGCCACACACACAGAGCCGAGCTTGAATGAAACACCCATAAGTACTTGTACTGTACTGTACAAGTACAAGCATATTATTTTCAAATCAATCATTTTTCAAATTATGAATTTCACATATATAAAAAAAAAAAGACATACATTTCTTGGAGTTGTTTAGCAGTTGCTAGGCCAAATGTTGGTGTTGCTTTAGCAACTCCAAACTGGCGCCGCTCCGGATCATTTGTGTTGTTTGTGCTGCACTATACGTTCTGTTTCTTTCTTGTGTTAAGTGAGAAGTAAAGCAAAGCTGTGCTATGAAAGTTAGCTTTCGCTAACTTTAGATCCATAACAATGCTAGCTAAGTAGCCTAACAGCAGGGACTAGGGATGCTCCGATCGCCAATTTTGGGGCTGATCGCCGGAATCAGTATCGGCCGATACCGATCGATCCGATCGAGTGGGCGGGGCCTATGGGGATCTTCCATTTAAAGTGATGTTTAAAACTCAGTTAATGGGGCTCATTCACTGGCGCTTCCACAAACAACAACCAACATAATTATTACATTCAAATGAAGTACATTATTCAAGTTTACATTAACTTTGGATTATAATACGGGAGAAATGAGCGGAAGCGCTCTTTTCCTCTCTCCCCCTCTCTCTCTCTCTCCTGACAGCCTGTCAGTATCATCTCATGCAGCTCACTGATCCAGTAATGAGTGACCCGACAGTCAAGAATACATATATGTATAACTAGTTTAACTTGTTCCAGAGGTAGATCAAATAGCTAAGTGTGTTAGGTCTAACTCTTAGTGTGTGTTTCGCTCCGCTCACCGGTCCGTCACAGCGGGTGGAGCTGCAGGATTTCTGCTTCACACACGTTGCATGTTTTTATTCCAAAAAGTCCCCTGTTCCCATTATGTCCACCTGTTTTTGGATTATCTTATTACTACCTTACTACTCCTTTTATTGTCATTTTCGGACACCTTAAAATACTGCCAGACTGGTGAAGCCATTTTGGCGAGCTTGTTTTGCCGCGCACAGAGAAAAGTGTCATGTATTTTACCAACTAATTCCATTGGGGGCCATTTTGAATCGGCTAATTCAAAAAGTACAAGGAAATATGGCCCATAAATGAGGAATGAGCTGCCAACAAAATAAATGAATCCCTATGGAGAGCTGTGATGTAACCTGTTTTTTTCTTAAAGCATCTTCAAGTATCAAGCATAATTTACCTACTTCTGAATGATTTTGCTAACTTATAAATGAACTGATAAGGCAATATACCTCACTCACTAGAGTGAGTGGCCCCTCCCTTCGTATATGTTTCTGTATGTAGCCCTCGGAGAAAAAACAATGCAACCAAACTTATTCCATACATCAACATTCTCCTGCTTCTTATACTAAATCAATAGGTTTGGAGAAATATAACTTTGAAAAATATTATTTATATATTTATTCAGAAAAATGTTCAATACCTTGTATTGCAACCAAAATCAGTCTACACTAAAACAGCTCGACAGCGGCTCTTCTTCCTCCGCAGGATTCAGAGGTTCAGCATCCTGACCTTCTACAGGTGCACCATAGAGAATGTTGTGCTGAAGAGGGCGAAGAAATAATGTATGCAATTCTTTTGTAATAAAAAAAAAACCCGTACATCTGATGTTTTGGGCTTAACTCTCTGTTAACCATTGTATTGTCCAATATAGTTATTATATACAAAAATAACAATTGTTTTCAAATAACTGTTTTCTTGTGGACTTTTGAGTTATCTTTTTTCATATCTTATTTGTTCTTAAGCCTTCCAATGTTGCATATAGCAGAAAATCAATGTCCACCTGGTCAGAGTGCTCCTGCTCAGCTGTGTAAATCTGGCTTTTTTTGGGCTGATATTGTGTTGTGTGATCATTAGTTATTCATTCATTAATTAGGTTGTCTCAACTTCTTCTTCCATCTGCCACAACTGAAGACAATCTCAGCTTGCCGGCACTTCAGATCCCTTAGTTGATCCTCCATGTAGTCAGAGGCGTCCACAGTGTCCTCAAAGTCCAGCAGCAGGACCCTGTTTCCCAGCAGTCCACGATGCTCTCTCAGCTGCAGGTTGTCTCTCCGAAGGCTGTTGCGAGCGTGCCTAGTCCTTGTGAGGAAGTCCGTTCCCCTGGCCACCGTTGCTTCCAACATTGCAAGCTGCTCTCGCTTGGCCTGGGCCTCCATTTGACTCCAGAACAATTTCTCCTTTATATTTGACAGTAGCTGATAGAGCAGAATAAAAAACAATGTTAGGGTTAGGGTTACCTATTTCTGGAAATCATATGTTGTGAAACAAATACAGAAATGACGCAATCTGTACTCGGATTGTTATACTAACCTCCAAGCTGCTGCTGATCTTTAGTTGCGTCTTTAAAGATTCCTCATTTTGCTTTTCAGTGTGTTTTTTTCAGCTCTAGCCTCTCAGCCTGCAGCAGATCAAAGTGGAGAAGTAGGGGGTCCCCGGCATCTTTTTCCCTTGCAACAAAGTTCCCCCTCCAGCCTGTGAATGTTGGCCCTCAGCTTGATGTTTTTGAGGCGTAGTCTGATCAGCTCGTGCTGTAGAAGCTTCTCTGTTTCCAAGGCTGTCTCCACCTTGGTCTGAGCAGCTTGTTTACCAAGGTGTAGGCTCAGTACTGTCACAGCTACCTCCTGCTTTAGGGCCACCAATGATTGCCATTCATTTTCCACCTGACAACAAAGATATGGCCAACTGTTCAGAACACTAAACACACAATCAACACTGATTCCAAACCTGTAGAGGTCCCCCAATTTGGGTGCTTATATATAGTTGGGTTACAAGATGGTTATTTGGGCTTTCGTGAAAATACATATGAGACATTTCTATAAAAGTACTTGCTATATGGAATTTGTACAACTGCAAATATTATTTTCCTCAGAAAGAAAAAGTCCCAGAGAATCTCTCCGGTCCGCTCCAACAGCAATACACTTTTAGATCAAAGTTTTTGATCTAACAAGCATCTTTTTGAGTGTTTCATCTATTCTCCTTAGAGTTTGTGAAATGCAACTATACCCATGGAGTTGACCCGATACCCGATGTTTGTAAGTGTTCATAGATCAAAAACATTTATCCGGGGAAAACTGGCGTATGTCTTGCGTCAGAACAGACTACACTGTGTGCACAATTATTAGACGAGTATCTTGACCATATCATAATTTTCTATGCATATTTTTCCAACTCCAAGCTGTATAAAACTTGAATGCCTATTGGATTCAAACACATCAGGTGATGTGTATTTGTGTAATGACGGAGGGTGTGGCCTAAGGATGTCCACACCCTACATGAAGGTGTGCATAATTATTAGGCAGCTTCTTTTCCTCAGGCAAAATGGGCCAAAAAAGAGATTTAACTGACATTTGAAAAGTCAAACATTTTAAAAACCTTTCAGAGGGATGCAGCACTCTTGAAATTGCTAAGATATTGTGATTACAGAACCATCAAAGTTGTGTTGCAAATAGTCAACAGGGTCGCAAGAAACGTGTTGATACAAAAGACTCAATGAACTGCCAAAGATCTGAAAAGAGTCAAACGTGAAGCCACCAGGAAGCCCTTATCCTCCAGTGCTGTCATATTCCAGAACTGTGAGCTACCTGGAGGGCCCAGAAGTCTCAGGTGTTCAGAGACATGGCCAAGGTGAGGAAGGCTGAAACCACCACTGAACAAGATACATGAGTTAAAACATCAAGACTGGGCCAAGAAATATCTTAAGACAGATTTTTCAAAGGTTTTCTGGACTGATGAGATGAGGGTGACTCTTGACGGACCAGATGGATGGGCCCGTGGCTGGATCAGTACCGGGCCCAGAGCTCCACTTCAACTCAGATGCCAAAAAGGTGGAGGCTGGGTTCTGGTATGGGCTGGTATTATTAAAGATGAGCTAGTTGGACCTTTTCGGGGTGAAATGAAGTTAATTTGTTAACCTAGGTTCAGGAGCATGGCTACGCCTCAACCCCACCTCTAATCACGGCCAACTCTATTTATATACGGCCAAACATCCGGCAACTGCCTGTCTCTATTCTCTCAGAGACAGACAGGCAGACCGCGATTCAGACCAGCCTCGGTTTAGTCCAGCTTCGTAACCCATCACCTCTGAGGTCTAAGGACTTAACCCCTGCAGAATTTGCTCTAACATTTTCCCTCTACCCGCGACGTCATCTGCTCAGTTTATCCCACACGCAGAAACCGAGTTAGACGAACACCTCTACATAGCGCTAGACATGGCCTAACCTTATGGCTCAGGTTTCTACACCTACCACGTTCACTTTGCTAGTCAAGCCGCCGGCCGCATTAAACACTTCAAGAGCTGTTCATATTCGCACTGCAGTATGCCATTTAAACATGTATTGTATACAGGTTGTGTTTATTTTATTATCTTTGCTTTTTAATGCCTGTTGTAAAATGCCATTATATAATGTGTTTTTACTGTATTTATTCTTAAAATGTCTTTTAATTTATTTTGTAAAGACCTTTGAATTGTCGCGTGCTGAAAAGTGCTATATAAATAAACTTGCCTTGCCTTTACATCAGAAAGAACAAAGATTAAAGAAGTGACTAACTGCATCAGTTAGGGTTAAAAAACGTGTATTCAGCTAAAACATATACATCGCTGCAGTAAGTTATTATCCAGTGGAAAGCCCTTACCTACTGGCCAAGTTAAATCAAGTGGTTACTTTTGTTTGGCTGGGCAGTGTAGCTTTACACACCGTCTTATTTGACTTTCTCAGGACTTGAAACTGTTTTTTGGGGGCAGACCCCCACAAAGAAAAACAATGTTATACACACATACAAGGTCATTATCTTAACAGTTTGTTATGCTCATCGAGTCATCCGTGAGCAGAGCATCAAGTTGGCATGTCTATAACAGCTGAATGTGGCGATTACCATGTTGTTCAGCAAAACGCCTCACAAACTTATTAAGATCTAAAGCTTTAGATTCAATGCTGAGTACAGCCAAACTTGACAGTCTCTTCTCTGTCATTGTAGACAGCAAATACCTCATTCCTTCCGTGTACTTGGGTCCGAATGCTTCTCGTTTTGCGCCGTCTCCGCCAATCACATTTCCACGCTCGCGCCAGGGCCGGGGGAGGGGTTACAAGGCTCGCGTCTTGTGCTGCATTCACTTGCACTCGGACATTAGGGATTTTCTCTCATAAATGTCCGTTGAGCCACAACCATAGATATATATAAACACTAGATGGCTCATGGGAGATTTTCCAGCGTAGCTCACCGGCCGCCATCTTGCTACAGTCAACAGCTACTCTGGTATGGTAGCTGTTGTAAGGTGAGTGATCTGCACAAAAATACTCTTAACTCGCTGAAATCTTGATTGATTTACAAACGGTTTGGTTTATTATAAACATTATTAGCAAGGCTATGATACAGGATGCTTGGACATGTTGAAATTGCAGCTTTTCTTTGTGTATGTGTGGTTGTATTTATTAGCTGGCTAATAACAAGAGGCTGTGAGTGAGACCTAGTATTACAAAGTTGACCCAGCAACTTTACACCAGTGGGAGAGGCAGAACTGCTCTTTCTTTTCAACATAACTTAAGTTACACATGATTTCTTCCAAGTGGTTTGGCTTGTTAAAAACATCTTACATTTAGATACATTATGATCCAGGACATTGCTGGCTTTGTGTTTACAGAAGTACCTGACTATGCCGGACTTTTGTGCAGCCTACGGATGCTCTAATCGCCGCAGTCTGGAAACAAGAATCCGTGGAATCACCTTTCACGTGTAAGATATGACAATATTATGACTATAATTAGGATAATCATTAATTACGTAGTGGATGTATGTACATTACAAGTCCTGCTACACAGGATCAGTGGGGCTATGTGAGATAATAGTATTGCAAGATTGTTGTTGACCCAGCCTCTTTAGAATATGTTGCTACCATTTCTTTACCACAATTATTTAATGTTTCTTTTGGACATCTTTTTTATAACTCTTAGGGTTGTTGTCTTATTCTTAAAGTTATACATACATACATACAATTACCCCAAAATATGATAATTTCGGTGTGTATTTTTGTCCTTACCCTTAATGTTAAAGGAAAGAAGGGAGGAAAATGTTGACAATAATTGATATACTGGCTACCTTTTCTCATGTTGTTAAGGTTTCCCAAACCGGAGAGAGAGGAGGAGGCAGTGGGAAGATGCCCTAAGAAGGCAGGCGACACTGCTCTGGCAGTGATCATTTCAGTTGTGAGGACTTTGACAGGACGGGGCAGACTGTCCGGCTTAAAGATGGGTGTTGTGCCAACAGTATTCAACTTCCCAGCTCCATCTTCAAAGGGTATGTGTATCATTGGCCAACAAGAATTCAAGGTGTATAAGAGTGGTATATAAATATGTGATTAAATGTCACACTTTAGTTTTTCTTTCTGCACGTTTAGGAATAAATAATGTGTTGTGTATTACAGCACATTTTAAACACTCAAAATGTCTTTAATGATGTTTATTTTAGCCGGAAGCAACAAGAAAGCACAAACCACTTCTAGAAGAGCGGAAGATGAACCTCAGCCTAATGTTGTGAGTATTCTGAATGTGGCCAAGACCAGATAAATGGTCATTGATTTCAGGAGGGTGAGGACGTCTCCTCTACCCCTGTGCATTCTGGGAGAGGATGTGGCTGTTGTGGAGGACTACAAATACCTGGGAGTGCACTTAGACAATGGGCTGAACTGGAGGATCAACACTGACGCTGTGTACAAGAAGGGGATGAGCAGACTCTATTTTCTGAGGAAGCTGAGATCCTTCCACGTGTGCAGCAAGATGTTGGAGATCTTCTACCGGTCTGTTGTGGCTAGTGCACTCTTCTTTGCTGCGGTCTGCTGGGGGGGGCAGCATCAGAGCCGGTGACACCAGCAGGATCAATAAACTGATCAGGAAAGCCGGGTCAGTCATCGACATCAAGCTGGACCCCTTTGAAGCTGTAGTGGAGAGGAGGACACTGAACAGGCTGTTGTCCATCATGGATAACCCCACCCATCCTCTCCACCTGCAGCTGGACAGTCAACGGAGCTCCTTCTCCAACAGACTGCTGCAGCTCCGCAGTGGGCAGGAAAACATTCCCACACTGCCATAACTCTGTACAACAAATCACCTCTGGCTGGAAGATAACTCTCTCTCACTCTCCATAGTTTATCTTGAATATAACCACGTTGTACATTTTACACATATATAATCTGTTCAATATTTAATATTTAAAGGTGGGGTAGGTAAGTTTGAGAAACCGGCTCGAGATACACTTGTTATATTCCATGGAATGCTCTTAACATCCCGATAGCAATGAATATCTGAAGTGCATTAATATTCCATATGCCTTATATTTATGTATATGTATATTAGATATATATAATATCCTGCCAAACTCAACATGTATATTATTTTCCTCTTTCTTTATTTTCTTTATTTTTCTTGCTTATTTCTAATTTATTGTAAAATGCCTTGTCCCTTATGCTGCTGTAACTAAAAATGTTTTCCCAAATTGGGATCAATAAAGTACCATCTTATCTTATCTTATCTTATTTGCATGTGGAATGTCACTAACAAATGAGAGCATCATATGGCTTGTCATATTAAATCCTTTATCTCGGTGGTAACCAGGAAGGTCTATGATGGTGTTACTAGGAGAGCCCAATATCATTTGAGGTGGTACTCTGTGTACAAAGTTTGAGAACCACTGGCCCATCTCACTTGCTCTATGTCACTCATACACTTGAATAAACATGTGCAAACATTGAAACTACACCCAGGGGTTGGCAACCTTTACAATCAAAATAGCCATTTTTGTCCAGAGCCTCAAAACATATTTCTGCCTTTTATAAGGGGACAAGCCTATTAAGATCAATTTCTTAAAAGTACGCTGAGTTGTGTTTTCTGTTGGAGAACGTAACATTTTTTTAGGAGAATAGAAACCACACCAAGTTGTTGTTCTTAATAATACATTTATTTTGGGGGGCCGCCTTTCATAACACCCAAGGACACCTTACAAGGGCATAGGGGCAATATAGGGAACAATTAAAACTGGATTTAGTGAGATATCAGCCGGGGTAAGACAAGACAAACAACATTAAATGGACTTACAGAAGGACACAAAATGACATACAAGAACTCAGCGCACCGTGCTGTGATGTGGTAACGTATTTCAAAGGTTCTGGATTTGTTTACAAATCTAGAAACTAAATACAAAACTAGGACGATATGAAGATCTCATGTAAAAAATAATTGTGATAAATGAGACAGAACTGGCCTGTCTGTGGGCTCATTTTATGTTGGTTTGGTTCTTCTGATAAAGGTGTGAATATCTAAATAATATACCACCATATGCTATTGTCATTAGTTGTGTCCCTGTTCTTCAAGCTAAGGCATTGCTAAATTAACAACTCTTGGCTTACAGAGTGGTAACATGAGACCGATTTTATATATAAAATATAAATATATTTTAATTTTATAATTGATTTTAAATATTAACAATATAATAAAATAAATGGAAATATATACACCGGCAAATATTTAATATAAATACCTTGTGTGTGTGTATAGCTATTGCTTTATCTGCTTAATGTTATTTTCATATGAAAGTCCATGATTATAAGTATGCAGTATCTATAACTACATCTTTGATGTTTATAAAAAAACCAAACCGTTTGAAAATTGTTTGAAAATTGAGCAAGCTATGGTTATTTAAATAGTAAACCATAATGTTATGAATGAGAGCACTGCCTGTAGCAAGATGGCGGCCATGTGGCAACGTCGGTCTCCATTGGCCAGCAGCGCGGGTGAGTCATCTAGTGTTTATATATATCTATGGCCACAACCGCTCGCATAAAGTTAGCGGAAGTTAACTAGAAAGATTTCACTGTTTCTCGTAATTTTTTTCTCACGCTGCGTCTCCCCTGAAGCTCTCTGGCGCCCCCCCGCTGGTCTAGAAAAAGGTAAATGTGTGCATTTTATTATAAAGTTGTGTATATTTACAGACTGTTGCAAAAACTAAGAGGCTTATAAACATCAGGTTTAAAACTAAAAGAGCTTTGCAAAAAAGTAACACAATTAAAGATGTTTGGAGTTTTATTTGAGTTATTCATTCAAATGTTTTGTCCAAGAGATGCTGATTTGAAACCGTTGTTACCTATAGTTACGGCATTTCGTGTTTCTGCAGGAGAGAGGGGAGTTTGTTCCAAAGCTGTATTTACACCCTCCATCTGAAAGGAGGGAGCCTCATTTAGCTGCGAGTGTCACTCCGACACGGAGTTCACTCCATCACGGAGTGGGTAGGGTGTGGTTTGGAATTGGGCCTCTCTGTTGGAGGACTTGATATGATAACCCACTCCCCCTCCACACTCGTTGGTTTGGAACAGGACTTAATGTGGCGGACCCTCCACTCGAACGCGCAAACGGAGGGGTAGTGTGTAGGGGTAGGGTGTAGGGGCGGTTTGGAATTGGGCCAAATAAACAATCAGGCACAGGAGGGAAAACACAGGAAGGAGAAAATATATGTCAAAATAAAACAGGAAACTAAACACAAAAACTCAGACTGTGACACATTATATATTGTATATCCAAAAGTCATAGTTTAGTATTCAAAGTCAGTCTAGTATGTCAAGAATATAATGAAAAAAGTCCCAGTATGTTGAAAAGATGTATAGCGATAATGATCATTCATATAAAAACTGTGTTGATGATAAAACTGTGTACTTGAACACAGTCAAGTTTTCAGACTTTTATGGCACTTTTAAAAGTCCAGTAGTGCCAAATACAGCCTGGGGCTTAAATGGCCTAAAGCAGAATTAAGAGGTCTGGAGCTACAGAGGTCAGGTAAGTCAGAGTCTTTCCAACTTCCCACCCGAGTTAAAAATGTGCAACTTTAAACTTCAGTCAACTGACTCTGACTTTTGTGAGATCACTTACAAAACTATTTCTGCAACCACCCACTCCCAACTTACCAACTGCCTTCACTGACATCAAAACATGGATGCAAAACAACTTTCTGAAACTAAACTGTGACAAATCTGAAATAATCATTATTGGTCCAAACTCACCAACCCGCTCCACCCAGGACTTCCCTCTAAACATCAACGGCTCCATCGTCAACCCCTCAACTCACGTCCGTAACCTTGGTATCATCCTCGACCCCGCTCTCACTTTCCTCCCTCACGTCAACTAGATCACAAAAACGCCTTTTTCCACTTAAAGAACATCGCCCCCACCGCTGCTGAAACTCTGCCTTGATTACATCCCGACTGGATTACTGCAACAGCATCCTCTACGGTTCTCCTGCATACATTGTCAATAAACTGCAATATATCCAGGACTCTGCTGCCCGTATGCTCACCTCAACCCAACCCTCCGATGACATCACCCCCATCCTCCACGAACTCCACTGGCTCCCAATCAAACACCAAATTGACTTCAAAATATTACTTCTCACCTACAACGCCATCAACAACCTTGCCCCTCCCTACCTCAGTGACCTCATCCAACCACACACCCCTCCACACACCCCTACCCGTCGCCTCAGGTCTGCTGAAGCTAACCTACTACAGCCCATCAGGACAAAGCTCCGGACCTGGGGGGACAGGGCCTTCGCCGCAGCCCCCCCTCCCTCTGGACCTGGGGTGACAGGGCCTTCGCTGCAGCCCCCCGCTCCCTCTGGAACTTCCCTCCCCAGTCAAATAATCTCTCAAAACTCACTTATTCACTTTAGCTTTCAAACTCTGAAGTGTTATGCTACCATTTGCTGCATTGCGTTGGTCACAGAATATGTAACATTTCTTTGTTTTATAGTTTTTTTTTAATCTATTTTAACAAAACATTTCCAACATTTTAAACTTGGAAATGATACAACTATTAAAGGCACATTTTTAGCACAACATGCAGATCCCCTGACAGTGCGACAAACCTTGTCCAGCTTCTCTTGGGAAATGAACCTCAGCTCCTCTGCTTGCTTCTGAGATGTCTCTGTATTAGTGGTAAGCTGCTGTTTCAGGTCAGTCAGGATGGTTATGTACTTCTCATACTCCTGCAGCTCCTTTGAAACTTGTATCACCACGTCCACCTGGGAGTCATCTCTGGCCTTCTTGTGGAAGAACTCAGCCAACTTCCCCTGCAACAGGCTGCAGCGCTGGCTGGCTGTATCTCTGTCCTCACACATGCACTCTTCAGAGCTAAGGTCTTCAGAACAGGATTGCTCTCCCCCAGCCTTCTTTTCTTCTAGTGTGGTGTTCTGTCTCTCCAGGGCCTCAAGAGGCAACCTGGGAGCTCCATCTTCATCATGGCTGTTTATTTCAAAAACTACACTCTCCTTTTGAGACTTTGCCTGTTCATTGACTACATTGAGCTCTTTACCTTTTTTCTCGTATGGCTCAGGGGTAGCTTCTTCTTCAGTAGGGGGCTCTTTACAGTTTTCTTCATCATGATCAGAGGCAGCCATTGTAGCTGGGACGTCTTCTCTTTCATTTCCATTTACACTAATATAAGAAGTGTTCTCCACGTTCGAGGAATCTGCTGACGCGCCGAAATCGTACTTTACCTCATTGTCTATCTTGCCCTCCATTTTCAATAGAAATAGAATATAATAAAATCCCCCCAAAAAGAATGTAATGTGTGTATAGCTCGAGGGTTTGTGCAGTCTGTAGTGAAGAAACTGTTCGTTTTGTTTTAGTTGTCCTGGAAACTGGTGTCGGGAGCCAATCGGAGGCGCTCTGACCTCTGCTCATGAATATTAACAGAGCAGGATGTGAGTAGGTCGCGCGGCAATGATCGCAGTGCGCATGCGCGCTCTTCTGCCTCCAACAACAAGAAGCAGGAGCCAGGCAACATGGCCGACCTGGGGAAAAAGTACTGCGTTAACTGCCTTGCAGATGTTACAAACCTGCGGCTTCGCTGCACCGACTGTCCCGATATCGAGCTGTGCCCGGAGTGCTTCTCGGCGGGCGCAGAAATCGGTAATCATCGGAGATGGCACGGCTACCAGCAGGTCGACGGCGGTCGGTTCTCTCTCTGGGGTCCCGAGGCAGAGGGAGGATGGACCAGCAGGGAAGAGCAGTCGCTCCTCGATGCTATCGAGCAGTATGGGTTTGGAAACTGGGTACATCACTTTTTAAGTTACTTGACTTATTTCCCTCTGCAGGTCTACACCCACTCCTACACTAGCTGTGTTTAAATGAGCCTACTTAGAACATTGGCTAGTAGCAGTAATATTAGGGTTATTTAATTACCTTCTTTTCTTGGGCTACTGTCGTAAACGTTGGACGACTGAGCATGTAATACTCAGGAATTTACATTCCCACTTACATTTTTTAAATATAATGTTGAACTTATTAATAAAGCGAATAAGCTAACGAGTAATACGCTACCAAAAATATGAGAGCATTGTGACTTTACAGATGTCAAATGATGTCAAAAATAATCAACGTGTTCACCAGGGGTAAAGAAAAGGAAATGTAGAAGCTCTTACTAAACTTAATCTTTATCTAACTTAACTAAACTATGACCTAAATTAATCTGCTATGGTTGCTACAGTAGTTTTTAATTGTTTGCTCCTTTCATTCATTCAATTTTGACTAATTTATTTAAATTAGTCCAATTTTTAAATCAATTTAAATTTGACTAATGCTTAACTTTATGAATGACATCTTTTATTGATTGAAAATAATTGTTTTAGTAACTAAAACATTGCAATTGTAGGTAGAGCAACACATTACTTATTTGATTGCTTAGTCAAAATGCAAAAAACATTAAAGGTAATGGAAATAACAATGTAATATGGCACACAATTCTTGTACACACTTATTAACTTGAGTGAACTACTGCTCTGGAAAGCTCCGAGAGCAGAACAGAAAGGAAAAACTAAATATGCAGCAAAGAATCCTTAAAATGCACGACAAATATACCATAAATATCATTATCAAGCATTAACTAAAAACAAAATATACCTTGCTTGAGGGTTACAATTCAAGCTTTTAAATTATGACATAATGAAATACAATAAATCCCATAACAAATTTGAAAGATACCAATAGGCTTAAATTAAAGTATACCTTAAAGGGGACCTGTCATGCAAAATGCACTTTTGTACGTCTTTTATACATGAATATGTGTCCCCGGTGTTCCAGGGAACTCACCAAGTGTCAGAAAACACAACCCTCTCTATTTTCCTCCATACCCAAATCTCTAAAAAAGGGGCTGCAACGGATCTGATAAAAACTGATCCAGATTTGAACACTGTCCTGACGTCAGGACAGTGGCGCTACGGCTATTGGGCCATCTCCACCAATCAGGAGGAGACAGCCACGGCCATTGCCGTTCGAAAGCACTGGAGACGCTGTAGTACATATGCCAGGCCAGTAGATGGTGCTGTTCTCACAGAATCAGCCCCTGCACAAACAGAGCTAGAAATTGTCAAATTGAGCAAAATGAGGCATGGCTAAAATGCATGATCTGTTTGGTATTTTGAAAAAAAAAAAGTATAAATATGCCTTATATAGGTATGGTCCTACACTATATTATTCAAATATAGCATGATAGGTCCACTTTAAGTTATAGTGCCTCTGTAACTGCAAACTTTATCTGTTACATATGTTGAATTGTATTATTGCATGTTGACCAATTTTCGCATTAGCATGTTCTTCTGAAGAGTTGCTGTTCAATGAGTTAAATACTAATTTGGTTACATTACTTATATATACTGTAAATAATACTAGTAAGTAAACTGAATACAGTTTTTTCCTTATAATGTTGCTGGTAAATAACACAATTATTTCCTGAAAACCTACTTGCTCATTTTCATTAAATTACCAACCCCTTAAAATGTTAAAGAAATGTGTGGGAATTGTTGTTCAACTTGCTGTCTAACTAATAATTAAAAATATTAAAGACGTTTGTGTTGTCTTCCAGGAGGACATGGCAGCTCACGTCGGAGCATCCCGAACTCCTCAGGAAGTCATGGAACACTATGTCACCATGTACATCCACGGAAACCTAGGTAAGGCCTGCATCCCTGAGAGCATTCCCAACCGGGTGACGGACCACACCTGTCCCAGCGGGGGGCCGCTGTCGCCTAGCCTTACCACTCCTCTCCCACCGCTGGATATCAACCTTGCAGACCAGCAGCAGCTGGGCTACATGCCACTACGTGACGACTATGAGATTGAATATGACCAGGACGCAGAGAAGCTCATTAGCGGGCTGTCTGTGAACTACGACGACGAGGATGTGGAAATTGAAATGAAACGTGCACATGTGGATATGTATGTGCGCAAGCTTAGAGAACGCCAACGTCGTAAGAACATCGCAAGAGACTACAACCTGGTGCCTGCGTTCCTGGGCAGAGACAAGAAGGACAAGGAGAAGGAGAAACCAGGAGCGCTGGGAGTCATAGGTACTGCTGTTGGGGTAGGGGGGGTAGCAGTTGGCAGTGGCACAATTGGATCAGGTTCCACAACGGCAGTAGGATCAGGCCCTGTTTCCAGTACGCCCAAAAGAAAGATCCCAAAGGAAGAGAAGGAGCAGCGGGTCAGACTGCGGGGGCTCTGTCAGTTCATGGCTAATCGGGAATTTGAAGACTTCTTTGAGAACATGCATAAAGAGCGTGTGCTAAGAGCAAAGGTGCGTGAGCTGCAGCGCTACCGGCGCAATGGCATCGCCCGCCTGGAAGAGTCTGCTGAATATGAAGCAGCGCGCCACAAACGGGAGAAACGCAAGGAAAACAAAAGCGTGGTCACCTCCAAACGGGGAAGCGGAGGAGGGGGCGGGCTTGGCTCTGGGATTGGACTTGGGGGAGGAGCTGGAGGGGGAGGCGGCATAGCTGGAGGGTTGGGGGTTGGTTGTGGGATTAAGGAAGAGGGCAAAGATGGTGAATTTGCCGCCATCGAGAATCTGACAGGCTTCGAGCTGCTGTCAGACAGGGAGAAGGTGCTTTGTAACTCTCTGAACCTCAATCCAGCACGTTACCTGACTGTCAAAACCATCATCATCAAAGATCACCTGCAGAAAAGGCAAGGTATCCCGGCCAAGAGCCGGCTGCCCAGCTACTTGGACAAGGTTCTCAAGAAGCGTATTCTCACCTTTTAACGGAAAGTGGCTGGATATCCCGAGATGCCTCTTAGTGATCCATCTTTGGTCAGGAAATAATACGTTTATGATTCGCTAAAAGCTCTGTAGGCAACTACTGGCATTTTTCAGAGGTGACATTGTGGATATGTACATTACAAAGAAAGAAGATGCCCCACTGGAGAAAAACAAATATATATTTTCATACGAGAAGAAAATAAGCCTCTATTTTTAGATTTGGCAAGGGACAGGGCTGAAAAACAACACTTTGGGTTTAAAGTATTTTGTGTCCATATTTTTACTACATGAATGAAAACTACAATGCTAACAAGTATAACATAGCTCCAGAGATGTTTAAATGCTGTTGCAAGAGGATGATTGTTAGATTTAAAATCCAAAAATCGACATGGAAAAGGCAATAGGAACATAACATTTCATGGAAAAGTTTGAGTCATAATTGTTGGGTGAATAATCACTATTTTTGGTGGTAGATGTTTTTCAGGATTTGCCTCAAAATAAATTAAGTTAACTTTGTTAGTAGGTAAGGCAGGACTTCCTAACTAGAGCTACCGTTTACATGTTGTAAAATGTTATGGCCTTCATTTTCTAGATTTTTTTCATGCAACTTGAGCAAACAATCAATCTTCTGAATGTTCTTCTTCTCACTGACTAATTGGGAAAGGAAAAGAAGCAGCAGGGTTGAACAGTCATCATGTTTCTTTTTGGCTGAGCACTTGCTTCTGCCTGAAGGCAATCACAATGTAGGTTGACATAGAGCTAGATGGATAGATCTGATGATATATCAGTATTGGCCCATTCGTCAGCCAATGAGCAACAAGAAATAAATGCCAAAGATGATTTAAAAGATGATTTAGAGTACATTACACAATCTGTCAACCAGAGAGAACAGGCTTCAAAATGCTGTCAGGCTTTAATTTGTATTAATTGATGTCATAGTTTTTCACCTGAAATTACTATGGAGGAAGACTTTTTTTTTTTGCCAAACAAAAACTGAACTTTTACAAAAAAATGAGTGCAGCTTAGCACAGCTTTAAATCTTCTACTGTCAACATAATATAATACAGGCAGCTTAATGTGAAAGGGCATTTTACAATGATACTAAAATGCCTAATTAGAATGTAGTTGCAAGTGTTAAGGCAAGGCAATCTAATAGTACACATCTTTATATTTTTCAACTAGCAGGAACTGCAGTATGCCTCAATTTAATTTCAAAAGGTCCTTACATCAAACCTAAGCCCTGTGGACGACAGCATCACATTCCCAGGTGGTAACTGTCTTTTTTAGGGGAAATGCTAGTCATGAGTAGCATTAGTTCTTAGCTGTATACATTGCCGCAAAAGTAGCTTTGCTTTTTTTGTGGTAAAGTAAAGTAAATGCTCCCTCTTCACTGTAGAACTTGAGTCGAGGGTGTTAATATTCTGTTATGGTCAACAGTCATGCTTTTTCATATTTCATCAATGTTGTGCTCCACACCATGTACCATTTTAATCAACGTAAGGTTGTATTTCAGAGATAAATCTGGTGATATTTTATATTTCTCTTATTATATACACATCCCATGAAAACACCAAAACCACCTATTGTTTGTATCAAAAGCCTGATATATCTAAATCCTGTTAGAGTTCAATATGAAGCACATCTATGAACCACACTGTTGAACTGGGTGGTGTGTTACTTCATTATCGTGAACACACACACTGTCATTTTGACTCAATCCCACATACATTAACACTCGCTAGACCACTAAATGGCTGATAATAGGCCCGACAAGTGCATTTCCTCCCATTTGAGTCATTTCCTAAAAACTATGCCACCAAACCTTTTTTTAAGGAGTAAACATTTATATATAATAATGAACAATTACTCTGCAAGAGACAATAGGACAATGGAAAGTATTAAGAGGCAGACTAAGTTTTGTGTTTTCATTGAATTTGATTAAATAACTAGAATACTTTATATTTTAAGCCTTACTTTGTATTGTTAAGTAACACATCATCAGGTGCTTATGCTTGTTTTTTGTTGCATAACTCTGGGTCTTAGTAGTTCACAATTTTGAGAAATGCTTATAATACGAAAATCCATATTTCCAACATAATTTGTATATAACATATAATTAATCTAATTTACATTCATATGTTTCTGTTCCCATTGCGTTGCATATTAACCCATGGCTAACATTTCGGACTGGAGTTTGATATATTAGTCAACTGTTTAGGTTTATTGAAGATGCTGATTGTACAACAGGCAAGACTTGTTGTGTTGAAGCTGAGGGGAATGTGTGAGTATAATGGCATTGTTAAAAAACGAATAAGAAAAGTTCAGGTCAGATGTCAGCTCCAAGTGCCAAAATGTCATCTGAACCACAGTTAAAAAAACAAGGCTACATTTCAGCCTATACACCAAACTCCAATCCTGTAGAATTGATGCTTCTCATTTGTATGAATATTAGTTATTTTCAGATTTTGACAGTAAATCTTTCTGCATGTGCACCCAAATGTTCAAAAAGGTCCTAAAATAGTGGCAATTATATTTTTCCAATGGGTTAATAGTTTTTGTAAGGGGGATTTTGCATTCTTTTTACATTTGTAATATAAATTGGGAAAAAAATATAATTACCCACATGTGAAATGTACAGTATTTTGTGTCATGGTAATGTTCATAGATTTGTAATAAAGTAAAAATATTTTTGATTAGAGATGAAGCATTTTCTGGAGATGTAGGCATAATGGTGACATGCAGCTGTGCTGCCTATAATATAATTTCCGGGTTGTAGTCGAATTGTCCAAAAATCAGCTCCTCTCGTCTTTTCCTATCCACTATTCCTTGACCTCTGTGTGAAACGTCACGGTGTTAAGGAATAGTTGATAGGAGAATTCAAAAGGACTTAGGAAAAGAGACTGCTGTACTTTGAGAATCCGACTGCACTTACTTACACTATCCGACGTATTTATGATGCGCCAGCGGACGTCATACATTTGCGTCTGCTGTGGGGAAACTACAGTTTTCTATACAGCGGACTAAATGGATGTATAATAACGTTTAAATGACTACTGTAAACGCATCTATAACACTGCACCGTGCTCTTATGGTGCTGTTTTATGCTTTATGGACGTGGACAACAGAGAAACATATATTCTTCATGACCAAGGTTGGAATTGAAATAAATAAAGTAAAGTGACATTTATGCTTGTCACCCTCCGGTCCACACGTATTAATCCACAACAATCCCTATACGTATGATTGTATGAAAAGATCTTAAAATAAATACAAATGTGTTTATTATAAACATGTTAGTCCTTAACATCTATCACTGTGTATATCACCATTAAAACATATTTTAAGAAACCCCACACAGCTCAGTAAACACTGTAAAATGTTGACTTTATTTGATAATTTTAGTAAAAAAGTAACGTTCATATTTCTCCTTTTGATTATTATAGTGTTGAACGTTCAAAACAAAGCACTTTGGCAAGTTACCACATCAGTTGTAAAATGCTTAATAAGCACCGTAAATGTCATGATATCATTTCTCGGTTGTTTCCGTGAACGGCCGAATGCTGTGTCAAGGGGCCTCTGTTAGTACACATTTAGTTAGACCCAAATAAATAAAATAAAATAAGAACTCATTCTCAAAAAAGATAAACGCCATTCTTAAAATGTATAAACGAACATTAGTTAGATTAATATTGATTAGAGTGCACAATAGAAATAAAATAATTGAGAGAAGAAAAAGAGATATGTTATCTATCAAAACCCAGTTAGATTAAAGGGCCCATGTCATGGCCATTTCCACTGATCATAATTACATTGTTGAGGTATACTAAAATAGATTTATACTGTGCAATTTTCCAAACTCACATTGGTTTCGCATACAGCATCTCTGTCAAGCATGTGTATTCAGCAGTATTCACTTTCTCCACTAAACACTCGTTGGAGCTCTTGCCCCCCCCTCCCTGTGAGCCTAGTGTGCTCCGATTGGTCAGCTCGGCCACTCGTTCTGATTAGTCAACCACCAGAGAGGCTGCGCCCATGTCAGTGCTTTTCCCGGCTGCTCTCAGCGTAACATCAGTTTTATCATGGCGTCGGTACAGCGGTATATTTTATATACATATATATTTTTAACTGTTGTTATAGAAGAGTGTGACGGCCCCAGGGCCTTTGTCTTACGATGGGGTGGAGCTGAAGAGGCTAATCAGCACGATCACGGACACCTCCGGACACAGTCTCTCTCCAAAGCGGCTGCAGGAAGACTAACTCTGCGATCCTCTCAACCACCTGTCTCTGCATTTACCACAATAAATGTGCCGTGGTTTTGTAAACTCGTGTATGTCTCCTTGTCTTTCCGTTGTGGCCTACGAGCTACTCTCATAACAAAGAGTAAGTTATTTTTACCCGTTATAAACTACTACTGTTTGATGAGAAATCAAATCATGGTTTGCTATATATGAATTCAGGGAAGAAAGGATAGGCCTACTAAGTATTTCCATTAAACTTTATTTTTAGAAATGTACAAAATGAACATAAATATACATATATACACGGTATATCATCCATTCCTCCTCCTCGCATCTCGCCTGCGCACAGTCGGTGCGGTGCCTTTTAGCACCCTCAGTAGTAGTAGAAGTGCCTTTTAGCACGTCATGGATTGTCCGCCAGGATCTGGCTGGACGAAATCAAATGCAAATCACAAAATATTAGAGAAACTTAGTTGTTTTAGATTCGTTAGTAGTAGTTGTGTAATGAACAGCTTGCCTGCTAATATGCTAACCTAGCTTTGTTTACCTTGGTAGCTAACACGATATGAACGTTAGCTTGGAGGAAAGGCAACTATAATGCAGTGTAATAAAACTACTATGAACAAAAGCTAGTGGTTCATATTAGGCTAGCAATAACGTGTTTATAATTGCAATCGTATACGGGTATTCTGCTACGTTCGGTCATACAATGTAACTTGCATGAATACATTGTTTTGCGCTAGCATACAGCTAGCCTCGTTAGCTACATGCAGTATATGTACGGTAACAATGTACGGTAAATCACAGTACAGTATACTGTATGAGTATTCCGTGTGTGTGACTGCAGACATTCTCCTGCCATGACAAACATGTAAGGCCATCTGCTGACATTGTAGTTGATATATTTAAACGCTAGCAACGTAGCATCACAAAAATGTTTTTCTGACCAAAACTAGCTCTAGCTCCGTGTGTTAGATCGCTACGCCAGCTATAATGTAATTACGTTTCGCGACTGACCGGCAAATCACCCGGAGTATACTGTCAATAGGTATTTTGTGTGTGAATGCAGACATTCTCCTTCTATGAGATACATGTATGCAAGGCCATCTGCTGATATTAGAGTTGATATATGGAAACTCTAGCAACTTAGTTAGCACAGTTAGCACTGTGTCAATGGCTTAGCAGTCCAACACAGTTTACACATTTAAACAGTCTTGTTTGATAAATACACAAATAACAATGCAAACTTACAGGTTGTATACCCAGATCTTCCCCTGCTCCAAACGGTCCAAACAAGCTGTGCATATCCGGCCTCAAACTGGGCAATGTTTTGGAAGCTTTCGTCTGTGAAATGCCGGTTCTTCGAACCTCTGGAGGAGGAACACGCCGCTGCTGGTGTGGCCATAGCTCTTCGGGATTGGTCCATTTCGTTCCGGGTACCGCATGACATCAGGCGGTACCCGGAACTAAATGGAAGACTCAAATGGGCAGTGACGTATCTCCAACGAGGCGTTTTGGGGAGGTATTTTCTGTGTTAGAGTTTTACTCGCTACAGGGTGTACTTTGAGGGTTTTGACTCTGCACACCGTTTACATGCATAAAAACCTTCATAACACACAAGGGGACGGGTAATAACCGGAAAAGCATGACATGGGAGCTTTAACATTCATTGGATTGCACACTTTGTTTGTTTGTGTGGATATGTAGCAAATTAACATTTTAAATAGCACTTAATGACTGACTGAATGGAAATGACAATAAATGAAAATGTAAAACGAAAAAAGCGATCATGAAAATGTTTCCAATAAATAAATAAAATAATTTTTTCTTTGTTGTTCAGATATATCACATATTTGTAACTGAATGATGCATTAATTGAAACAAAACACAGTATAAACTGAGGAGTGAGTCCCGTGAGTTTCATGTGTTTTCTTTAGGGCTGTCAGTCGATTAAAATATTTAATCGCGATTAATCGCATGATTGTCCATAGTTAATCGCGATTAATCGCAAATTAATCGCACATTTTTTATCTGTTCTAAATGTACCTTAGAGGGATATTTTTCAAGTTTTTAATACTCTTATCAACATATGAGTGGACACATATGCTTTATATGTTTGTTTATTATCATTTGAACAATGACAAATATTCTCATGAATATTAAACACAACAACCTCTGAACATTACAAATATTCGCCTCAATTCAACCTAGAACCTCTCTCATACAATAATACAATACTGTGTGTGTGTGTGTGTGTGTGTGTGTGTGTGTGTGTGTGTGTGAGAATGTGGAGACACTGTGATGGATCGTTGGAGCTATGTGCAGCTCAAGGCATATATGCCTGTGTGTATGAGCTGTGTTGCGCGCACTATCCGTGCTAAGTGTGCTGTCTGGCTACCTGCATAAAGTCAAGTGCTCGGCGCAGTTGTCGGCGAAATGTCGCTCCTCTGTTTTCATTGAAACAGCTCCTTATATCCGTTAGCTCAGCTAGCTAGCACCAGATGCTAACAACAACAACACGTAAGGTGTGCTTCGCTCGCGCCACACATACACACACTCTCCCGGTCCTCCCGATGGCCAGTCCGGGCCTGCCGGTGAGCGTGGAAGTGTGGTCTGCCACAAGCGGGCGGCAGGAGCGGGGCTGTCAGCATCAGCTTGTAGATGGTATTTTAAACTCGATGCGCTCTGAAACTACGGCGGCCGAGGACAAAAAATACACATGCGTTAATCGCGTTAAAATAATTAGTGGCGTTAATTTTTTTTTGCGTTAACGCGTTATTAACGCGTTAACTTGACAGCCCTAGTTTTCTTCACTCCGCTGGGAAACTGCTCTCATGTCATGAAGCATCAGATCAGTGCATGCGCTGCATCGTCCAATCAGTGAGCGATACACAGTAAGGGGGCGGGGCGAGTGTCTGAGGATTTCATCGAAGGATGGTCTGGTGGTTCCTCGATTATAGCTCCTCCATTATCGCTCCTCGCTCCTCGCTCCTCCGGCAAAAATAAGGCCATTGGGATGCTACTCAAGATGGTGCAGACAAATCAACTTCCGGTGAGACCGAGACCGAGGAGCAAGGAAATGAAAAATAAGAGAAGTGAAACGCAGCCGTAGTGTTTTCCTAAGCTAAAGGAGGTTATAAAGGAAGTTTCAAAGCTCCTTTCCTATCATATGGGCTGAAGTCGAATAGTCCATTTAGCTTAGGAACCTTCCTAACGGAGTGAAATGACCCGGAAGTCCCTCAGTGGCAGCCATGATAAGTGCCGTTCGAATTCTCTAGATGATAGGAAAGGAGGTTTCAAACTTCCTTTATAACCTCCTTTAGCTTAGGAACCACTGGACCTCCCTTGACTAAAGGAGAGGAGAAAATGCTGCCCCACAATGCCTTGCAGCCGCAGCATTTGCCGTCACACAACAGTCGGCCGTTCACGGAAACAACCGATTATGACCGAGAAATGATATCATGAAAGTTACGGTGCTTATTAAGCATTTTAAAACGTATGTGGTAAGTTGCCAAGGTGCTTTGTTTTGAACGTTCATCAGTATTATAATCAAAAAGAGAAATATGAACGTTAGTTTTTACTGAAATGATCAAATAAAGTCAACATTTCACAGTCTTTACAGAGCTGTGTGGGGTTTGTTCAACTTTTAAAAGATGTTTGAATGGTGATATACACAGTGATAGATGTTAAGCACTAACGTTTATAATAAATACATTTGTATTGATTTTAAGATATTTTCATAGTTAATACAATCATACGTATTGGGATCATTTGTATTGGGATCATTTGTATTAATGTGGACCGGAGGGAGAGGGTGACAAGCATAAGTTTCACTTTCCTTTTTTATTTCAATTCCAACTTTGGTCATGAAGAATATGTTTCTCTGTTGTCCACGTTCATAAAGCATAAAACAACAGCATCAGAGCACGGTGCAGAGTCTCTAGATGAGTTTACAGTAGCCCTCGTTCTTATTAAACATCCATGTTGTAGTCGGCTGTATAGAAAACTGTAGTTTCCATAGTTTCCCCACAGCAGCAGACGCACATTTATGACCTCCGCTGGCGCATCATAAACACGTCGGATAGTGAAAGTGCAGTCGGATTCTCTAAAGTACCGCAGTCTCTTTTCCTAAATCCTTTTGAATTCTCCTATCCACTATCCCTTAACCCCATGACGTTTCACTCCGAGGTCAAGGAATAGACGATAGGGTTAGAACTTAGGAGCTGTTTTTTTGGAGTATTCGAACGCAACCCTAGACTCTAGAGAATTCCAACAGCTCTTATCATGGCTGCCACTGAAATACTTCCAGGTCATTTCACTCCGTTAGGAAGGTTCCTAAACTAAACTGACAATTCGACCACAACCCCGGTCTGACTGGTTGCGTTCGAATACTCCAAAAAAACAGCTCCTAAATTCTAACCCTATCGTCTATTCCTTGACCTCGGAGTGAAACGTCATGGGGTTAAGGGATAGTGGATAGGAGAATTCAAAAGGATTTAGGAGAAGAGACTGCGGCACTTTAGAGAATCCGACTGCACTTTCACTATCCGACGTGTTTATGATGCGCCAGCAGAGGTCATAAATGTGCGCCTGCTGCTGTGGGGAAACTATGGAAACTACAGTTTTCTATACAGCGGACTACAACATGGATGTTTAATAAGAACGAGGGACTACTGTAAACTCATCTAGAGACTCTGCACCGTGCTCTGATGCTGTTGTTTTATGCTTTATGAACGGGGACAACAGAGAAACATATTCTTCATGACCAAAGTTGAAATTGAAATAAAAAAGGAAAGTGAAACTTATGCTCGTCACCCTCTCCCTCCGGTCCACATTAATACAAATGATCCCAATACATATGATTGTATGAAAAGATCTTAAAATCAATACAAATGTATTTATTATAAACGTTAGTCCTTAACATCTATCACTGTGTATATCACCATTCAAACATCTTTTAAAAGTTGAACAAACCCCACACAGCTCAGTAAAGACTGTGAAATGTTGACTTTATTTGATGATTTCAGTAAAAACTAACGTTCATATTTCTCTTTTTGATTATAATACTGATGAACGTTCAAAACAAAGCACTTTGGCAACTTACCACATACGTTTTAAAATGCTTAATAAGCACCGTAACTTTCATGATATCATTTCTCGTTCATAATCGGTTGTTTCCGTGAACGGCCGACTGTTGTGTGACGGCAAATGCTGCGGCTGCAAGGCATTGTGGGGCAGCATTTTCTCCTCTCCTTTCGGTTAGGGAGGTCCAGTGGTTCCTAGGCTAAAGGAGGTTATAAAGGAAGTTTGAAACCTCCTTTCCTTTTAATTTAGAGAATTCGAACGGCACTTATCATGGCTGCCACTGAGGGACTTCCGGGTCATTTCACTCCGTTAGGAAGGTTCCTAAGCTAAATGGACTATTCGAATGCAACCATAGTGTTGAGCTGTTTGCTGTCCCGTTATTTTGTCAGAGCATGAAAATGTATGAAGATGTATTAAATGAATCTAACTCTTTCACTTTTAACAGTCCTGTTTCCTCTTCAATAGTTGGCAGTCATTGTGAAACTAAAAGGTAAAACCCACCCAATCAAAGCCTTTGTTTTCTATTAAAGAGATGGAGAGAGGGCTTGTTAACTCACAATGTAATTGTGTACTGGCGAGTTACACTAGCAAAGAGTGAAGGCGGTTACATTGGTTACTATGTTTTCATTCACTCTCAAAGTGAACCACAAACATTGATCAAATCTAATAAAAATTCCACTTTAAGCTACTTTCAGTATGGAACATGTACATGATCAGTCCAAAACAATTGGATAATTGCAAAGCTTAAAGGTGGGGTAGGTAATTTTGGAGAAACCAGCTCGAGTGCGCTAGAATTTGAAAATACACAGCCGGAAGAAATCTGCTACTTCCTTATAGAGCCCCTCCTCCAACACACACGAACGTGCACATGACCAATGAGGGCACGAGATAAGTTTGTGCACAGATGGAAGGCTGACAGGCAGGTAGGCCATCCAGTTATTTTAGCCGGGCCGGCTAAAATGATTGGTCGTGCTTTTTACAGTACTACGGCTTCCACAGATGACATTTTTGTATGGATTTTTTGTCAAAGCACTTAAGATATTCATTGCTATCGGGATGTTAAGAGCATTCCATGGAATATAACAAAAAGTGTATCTCAAGCCGGTTTCTCAAACTTACCTACCCCACCTTTAAGTAATTATTTCTTATTTGTTAATGAACTTGCATTGCAATAGCGCTTTTCTAGTCTTCTGTCCGTTTGAATTGCTTTTACACTCAATGTAAACACTCACACACATTGATGGTAAATGCTAATTTTACATATACTGATGGCCACTGTATACATTTTTGATTTCCGCATGCCCAACGAAAATTAACAATGTTTGAAATAACAATCTTCTAAATGGAGGACGGCAGCCCCGCCTTCTTGTGAACACCTTTCATTTAAAGACCCCATCCTGAAAGTTACAACCACTCTATCACTACAAATAGTTTGTTGGCCATAAAACAAAGGGATGAAAAAATGCCAAAACCAATAGTATATTGTGCATCTCTCATTGCCTATTGGTTCCTAATGAAGACACATCTTTTGAAATGGACAAAAAGTATTAGGTTCATTACATAAAATACTAATATCCTAAAATTGCTTGCCACTTTTTGGGCAAATTGGCACCATACAGTGGCTTGTCAAAGTATTCACACCCCTTGACAATTTTTCCGATTTTCTTGCATTAAAACCGATAACATATTTATTTGGATTTTATGTCATGAACCAACACAGTCAGTCAAAAACTGAAAAGTGGTGTGTGCATATGTATTCACCCCCTTTGCCATAAAGTTCACCTGCAATCAAGTGTCTCATTATCTCTGTCTATATACACCTGTTGTAGAAGGCCCCGTCTTCCACACCACTTAACAAGTGGCATTACTAAGCAAGAAATTACACCATGAAGACTAAGGAGCTCTCCAAACAAGTCAGGGACAAAGTTGTGGAAAAGTACAAGATGGTTGGGTTATAAAAAAATCTCCATTTAATCCATTATTTCAAAATGAAAAAAATATGCCACGACAACCAACCTGCCAAGAGAGGGCCGCCCACCAAAACTCACACACCGTGCAAGGAGAGCATTGATCAGAGGCAACAAAGAGGCCAAGGATAACCCTGAAGGAGCTGGTAAGTGCGTGAAGCATGGTGGTGGCATCATGTTGTGGGGATGTTTTTCATTGGCAGGGACTGGGAAGCTGGTAAAAATAGAAGGAATGATGATTGGAGCTAAATACAGGGAAATACTTAAGGAAACTGTTTCAGTCTGCAAGTGATTTAAGGCCTAGGCGGAGGGTTACCTTCCAGCAGGACAATGACCCAAAGCTTACTGCTAAAGCAACGCTCGAGTGGTTTAAGGGGAAACATTTTGGAGTCACCTAGTCACCTAGACCTGCCCAGGGGAACAGACAGATACAGAAGTAGACCCCAAGAGACTCGCAGCTGTACTTGCTGCAAAAGGTGAGTCTACAAAGTATTGACTTTGGGGGGGTGAAAACCTGTATGCTCAGGTTTTCTCTTTTTCATTATTATTTGTATCACAATAAAAACTTTTTTTTTGTAATATCCAACATTCCTTGATTTTAGTAGTACTACATGCTATAATGTAGTACTACTAAAAAGATAATGCGCGAGGTGAAAAGTACAAGTGTACTTTTCACCTCGCGCATTATCTTTGTCTCTCTCCCTCTGTGGCCTACAGCTTGAAAATCTCTGCACAAAGACGGAAAAAGAGATGTGTAAACGAAAAGCATTACTCAAGATACCTTTCAAAAGTTGATCATTTTATTCGGATGCAGTTTTACAGATAAAGCTGTAACATTACTGTCAGGCACCACAAAGCCAAATCATCGCACAGAAACATTACATTTACTGAGGCTGGTTTACTGAAGCCTGTTCCTGACCACATGAAGAAGAGAAAGATTTTGACCAAGTTAAATCACAACCTTTCAGGTCATCAAGTTCCATCACTGTTCCTTGCTCTATTCACATTATTAACTCAAACAAGAAAACCAAAGAGGTGCATTTCAAGATAATTAGGGCTTTAAACAAAAGTCCGGAATGATATCAGCAGTAAAGAATCAGCACTACTCAATCTGTGGATGGATTCATTATAGCTCACAACAAATTCTCCAAAAATGTATAGATCATTTGTTAAACTTTTTGTGAAACATATTTATCTTTTAGTTAAGATTCATTGATGTTGACATAAAAGCTGCTGCCAGTGGTTGGGTGAGTTTTTTTTTTATTATCATTAAATTCTGACAATAACTTACTCTGAAATGACTCGCATAACTGATGACAAGGCCAAAGTCTACAGTGTTGACAGTTCCGTGCCAGACAAAGTGTTGGTGTAAATGTATCTGTTAAAAACTGATGGACAATGTCAAGACACAAAGTTCTGTTGAGTTGGGTTCCCGTCTCTTTGACCCTTCATGTTGCTATCCCAGAGGTCATCTGTTACTCTGGCAACAAAGGAAATGCCACTTGGTCAGTTAAATAATCACTTCTAGGGAGCTTTAGCTACGCCCACTAATGCTGGCCTGAGGGTGCGCCCATGAAGCTTGTAGCCTACTTTGGTTACTACAGCTACAGTGCCGGGCTCCTTGCCCTCCACAGGGGCATGAAAGAGGGCCTCATGCTCGTAGGGGTCAAACTTCTGGCCATCAGGATTGAGCTTGGCTAAGCCATGCTTTGTGAAGACCTTCTGAATCTGGATCTCAGTCATCACCAGGCCATCATACAGGTTCTTCAGGTGTGGGTTTTGGCTTGTAACTTCCTCTTTGGGCACACTCTCTGTGGCCTTTTCCAAGATGTCAGCCACGTCCAGCAGATCCTTACAAAGGCCCTGGATCCCTGGGGATGGAAGCAATTTACAACATTATTCAACATGCTTATGATCTCTTACTTTTCATCAAATGTTATGTATCCATTACGGGTGTGTTCACATCGGACGCGATGAGATTTTTTGGAGCGTCGCGATTACATGAAAAGTCAATGCAAAGACGTAGATAGACGCAAATTCACCCAGTTAAATGTTTTCAACTCGAGCTTCAAATTTGTGTGACGCTCGAGTCGACAGTACACAGCTGCTCCTCATATCTGTTCAGAAACTGGAGAAAAGTTATCCATGTACAAACCAGACTGTTCAAGGCATGGCGAATATAGTCCCTGCTTTATTTTATGACTGTATGGCGTTGTGAGTGTGGACAGAGCAGCTACATGTGAGCTTAGCCTTAGCATAGCCTGACCAATCTGATCTCTATTCAGAAAATGCATTTTAAATGTGTTTCGACTGCCGTCTTGTCTGCACAATTGTCAAAGCATTAATTCATGGTTTTTACTAACCCGTATCAGTATGTCGTTATTTCAGCATAATTTTATGCTCTAATTGGACAAAAAGCAGTGATATCATGTTGGATGTTTCAGGGACTGGGATGTCCCAAGTGGATGATCAAAATCTGAAGCTTTGAGCTGCATTATATGGTGTTTATGCTACTGGGCATAAGCGAATTGTAATGCTAAGTTAATAAAATAATACAAATACAGATGTTTGAAGTAGATGTTTTAGTATGCTAATGGTAATTAAGTAGTGTATGTTGAAGTACTACGTTTATGGTATTATGATCCCTTATAAGGAATTTGTTGAATGTAATTCCCAATGTTTTGATTGCATTAAAAATGCACTTTTTATTTTTTTTACTCAGATTTTTGTTTTTTGTTCTATGACATTTTTGCTGAAATAAGATGTGCATAATATGTGCAATATTCGCTTTGCCTATGGTATCAGGATATATTGACTCATAACCCCTGTAACAGGATACGTATTATATTGCTACCGATTGTATCATGCTGACATTACCGGATGGCAAGTTGGGTCACAGGTTCCTCAACAATGCAATTACAAGAAATAAAACACATTTAAAAGACAACAATAAAAATAGTGCAGTATAGTATAGTCCAGGCATTAGTCTTATGGATAGAACTGTCTCTGAGTCTGATGGTCTTTGTCCCGATGTGGCGGTACCGCTTGCCAGACGCCAGCAGACAGAACATTTTGTTGCTGGGGTGATGGGGTCTTTGATAATCCTGTTGTGTGCAACTTTTAAATCCCAGTGGGCATGCAAACTGCTTCTTAAGCTTGTAGTTGACTAAAGGTTAAGGAAGTACGTAAAAATAATCTTCAAATCATATTTTTTATATATTTTTCATGGCAGTAAAAACAACATAGAATTTCATATCTTACTAGTCTTACTAGTCTATGCCTTTGCTATTGTACTTGTATGTAAGCGACTACAGCAGCAAGGGATCACATGCTACCCAGAAATGGCTGAGTAGATCTTTGGATGACGGTTTGTCTCAAAACTCTGTATAATACAAATCCACAATCAAAGCATTTAGAATGGCAAACGCGTTTTTGATTCACATGTTGCTTGATTCACAAATGATTGATCGAAATTTGTAAATGATAGGAAGATACAGACGAGGAAATAATAATTAGATTTTGCCCACTTAAAAAGAACAGTCCATCATTGTAATGGTAGGTTAATTTTTTACATGGAGGGTAAGAATATAAAAAAGAAAATCCAGAAATTGACATTATATAAAAGATAAAAATGTATCTGCATTTAACTGTGTGAAATAAGTATTTGATCCCCTTGCATGTGTGAGTACTTGGTGGAGAAACCCTTGTTGGACACACAGAGGTCAGACTCTTCTTGTAGCTGGTCTCCAGGTTTGTGCACATCTCAGGAAGGATGTTGGTCCACTCCTCTCTGAAGATCTTCTCCAAATCCTTCAGGTTTTGAGGCTGATGCTTGGCCTCTGGAAGCTTCAGCTTCCGCCACAGATTTTCTATGGGATTAAGGTCTGGAGACTGGCTAGGCCCCTCCCTCACCTCAATGTGCTTCTTCTTTAGCCCCTCCATCACCTAAATGTGCTTCTTCTTTAGCCCCTCCTGTGCCGCTTGACTCATAACCCCTGTAACAATGTTCAGGGATTTGATCCATTATGGTGTAGTGTGTTACCAATAGTTTTCTTGGTGACTGTGGTCCCAGCTGCCTTGAGATCATTAACAAGTTCCTCTGTGTAGTTCTTGGCTGATCCCAGACCTTTCTCATGATCATCAATACCCCACGGGGCGAGTTCTTGTGTGGATATATATTTTACAATTATTTCTAATATATATTTTTTTCAGTTATTTACAGTTTTTTTTTTTAAACATTTGTGGAATGTGTAAGTATATTTCGAGATCTGTTTTATACATGCAAAGTGTTTGAGTCACTTATTGTTTCTGATTTTTTTGGAAGGTGGTTCAAGTGTAAGTAAACTAAACCAACTTCCAGCTACATGAAGACACAATCCAAAAGGCTTAAACTGGCCTTTTATTGCATCGAGTGATTCAATCATGTAAGTGTGGAACATTTTGTCTTGAACAGATTAGCTTTTGCAGGATTTATCATTTGCAGAGACCACGTTCAATTTAGTTTATAGGTTCGAGATTCCTTACCGTATAATTTAGCATCTTCTATCATCTTTTGACTCCTCGTTCTGAGGTTCTCTGTGTCTGCTAAGGCCCGCTTGTACTTTTCCTGGAAACACAGTAGGAATAGTAGCCCATGGCATTAAAACACATTCAATTCAAAAATCAATAAATATCACTTAGCTCAGGCATTTAAAGGTCACCTATTTATGTATTTTATACATAAACTGTGTAAGGAGATTCTGAAAGTTTCAGGAAAAAAAGATTCGCTCACTTTTTGTCCTGATCCATTTATATAAAAACCTGTCTGAAAATGAGCTGATCAGATTTTGGCCACTTTATGATGTCATAACGATTTTTTTGGCTTGTGTAACCATTAGCCATTAGCCAATAACCAACCAAGGTAACCACCCCCCCCCCCCCCCCCCCCCACCTTATCACCTGCATCTCCTCCTAGAGCACCAGTGTTCTTTTTAACCAAATATCTCTCAGAGGGGCGTGGCTCCTTATTTTCATCTAAAAGTAACAGACTTTTGAAACAGGGCTGAAACAGAGGGGTTTATGGGATGCTGCAATGCATGATCTGTTTGGCGTTTCGAGCCAAACACTTCAGAGACATGTTTTGAATATATCTGAGACCTGTAATATATTGATGAAAAACATTATAATAGGGGAACTTTAAAATTAAGATACCATGTCTGTTGGAGTACTTTATTTTTGAAGTGGTATTTAAAGATTGAAGACTATTGAGCACTAATACCATACCAATAACATTGTTACTTCGTTTTTTTTATTTGATCCTTAAAACCACAATGGCTAATCCTACATTTACTATGTGAAACCTCTCTCAGTGCATCTTTTTCTCCAATGAAGCATTTTTATAAATTGCTTCAAAGACAATGATATTATGTACTGAAATCACTCTATCACTTTATTTGTATTTATTTTTTACACAAAATGATTTGAATTTTGTAGTCAATAAAACAATCTGGTCCACACAAAGACTGCTTTAAAAATGTTTTAAATTAATAATACAAAAACACAATAAAGCTCTGTTGATTGTTGTCCCTACGTGCAAATATGAAAAACGAGTTCCTGATTATCTTCACCCCAGAATGAGTTTTATAAAAAGGTCAGTTTTCAGTGATGTTATATGGCTGTTTGCGTTTAGATAAGATATCAAAATGCAAAGAAAAAGTTATGTTTAGAAAATTGCATTTGGACTGTGACATTTGAATTATCAGAACCTACCTGTGATAGGGCTGTGAAAAGCTTTTCCATAGGGATGCTTTTCAGCGTAATGAAAACTGTTAAGGTTGTTAATCCAACTTTAAATTGAATAGACTCACCGTCATGTCCTTGACCTGTTCCTCCAGCTGGGCCTTCTCCTCGGCCAGGAGAGTGTCTGCTGCACTCTGCTCCGGCTTGTCAGTCTCATCCTTCTTCTGCTGACTGGCTGTGCATAACAACCGTGGGGAGGCTCTGTGTGGAGGAGACTTGCATGATGTTAAGGCATATTAAAAGTAGGCATATTAAAAGTAGCATGATGAAAAAATGAAAGCTTAACATTTTAAAAACAAACTTAAACGAGGCAGTGTGATCCTCACAACATGCTATTTTCGAAATAACAACCAAATCCAAAATGCAGTACCAGGTCCCCAAAATAAAAACATAATTTTGGTTCCGTTTAAGACTTCCTAATCCTGCTCATTTTGGCTCTTTCTACCAGAGTTGTGCACCGCAAAATGACACATTTTGTTTTGTCTCTACACTATGGGAACATTGATTAAATTGTTGCAAGCACAAGAGGCTGTTCCCCATGGACTGCAGGATTTGTTCTTTGTTCATAGTTTTAAACAATTTAAAATGTAAACACATGGTAGGCGATATAACTAAAATGTACAGCACCGTACTTTTGTTTCGATTTTCACGTATCACGATATTGAATGCATCTAAAAATAGTAGTTCATTTATTAAAGCCCACTTAGCCTAGACGTATATATTAGGGATGCTCCGATCGCCAATTTTGGGGCCGATCGCCGGATCGGCCGATACCGATCGCCGATCCGATCGAGTAGGCGGGGCCTATGGGGATCTTCCCTTTAAAGTGATGTTTAAAACTCAGTTAATGGGGCTCATTCACTGGCTTCCACAAACAACAACCAACATAATTATTACATTCAAATTAAGTACATTATTCAAGTTTACATTAACTGCTTAGAGAACACCGATCGATCGGTAGAGAGTGAGTATCGGCCGATATCGATCGGCGGCCGATTGATCGGAGCATCCCTAATATATATTGTATATAGCCTCATTTTATTTAATTCTGCTCAAATATAGAATTACAAGTAGTAGAAAAGCCTATTCACCCATATGTCATCCAATGTTTTATTTAGCCAATAGAGGCCTTATTCAATTAAAAAAGGTTTTCATCTATATCGTTTGACACTTTAGCCAAATTAATACATGCTCACTGATGATCACGTAAGCGTTCATTTATCAGATTTAATAATGGAATTTGGTTTGGCATTCTCTAAATTGAAGAATATACATTACAAACTCAATATACAATACAATTCCGCTGATAAAATAAAGATCTTAGACGGACACAAGCAGAAGTCGACATAACATACAGCCTTTAACATTATTTTGGCATACAGAATTCCATTTAATATATGGTAAATGGATTGTAATTATATAGCGCTTTATCCAGTCTTTATGACCTCTCAAGGCGCTTTACATACTATGTCATCATTCACACCTCATTCATACAGAGCAGTGCCACTTGCTCTAGTAAGCTAACACTCACACACCATTGGCCATCGGGGAGCAACTCAGGGTTCAGTATTTTGCCCAAAGATACATCGACATGTTGATGCCTGCACAGGCTGGGATCGAACCAGCAAGCTGCTGGTTGAAACCAGTTTTCAGGGACCGCACTTCCTCCAAGCCACAGTTGCCCTATATCAGGGGTATTCAACTAAAATTCAACGAGGTCCAGTTAGAGAAAATCTCCCCATGCAAAGGTCCGGAACTTCAAAATGTCTAACTTGCTTTATGAATTAGTGTGATATATTGAAGTAGCCTGCAGCTTTATCAACGTCTGCAAGTAATCAACAACTGACTGCCAATCAAATAAAGAAAGTACAATTCATAAACAACAATATTTATTGTCAATTAACATTGAACTATACAGATATACAGTAAATACTGTGGATATGTGTAATGTTCCTCTCGGGCTGCATTTAAAAATAAAATAGAGAAAATAAATAAAATAGAATAGCTTTGTTAACCGTTTCACATCATGACTTAACAGTTTCAGACGATTATAGAACAATATCAGTCATAACAATTGAACAGTTTTAAAGTTTCTCTTTCTTTCCCTCTTATATTGCAGTCCCTCACTCACAGTATTGTATTCAAGTAAAACTTTTAAGTACTTGTACTTTACTTAAGTTGTATCATTTCATGCTGCTTAAAGGTGGGGTAGGTAATTTTGGAGAAACCAGCTCGAGTGCGCTAAAATTTGAAAATACAGCCGGGAAAAATCTGCCACTTCCTTACAGAGCCCCTCCTCCAACACACACAAACGCGCACATGACCAATGAGGGCACGAGATAAGTCTGTGCACAGATGGAAGGCTGACAGGCAGGTAGGCCATCCAGTTATTTTAGCCGGGCCGGCTAAAATGATTGGTCGTGCTTTTTACAGTACTACGGCTTCCACAGATGAAAGTTTTGTATGGATTTTTTGTCAAAGCACTTAAGATATTCATTGCTATCGGGATGTTAAGAGCATTCCATGTAATATAACAAAAAGTGTATCTCGAGCCGGTTTCTCAAACTTACCTACCCCACCTTTAATATTTTTAATTCATTAAATTGTTGGCAAATGTTGGCATGATGTATTTTTTACTCCATTCCATTAATTTAACGTAGTTACTAGATACTTTGCAGATTTATGTTATTACTAAAAAAATGTAAATCAACTACAGTATCATATATTATTAAAGGTTAAGCCACCCAGTTGTTATTATAGTAAATCAAATAAACCACACTTTTACCAAGTGAAACATTGAAGTGATTAACACATTAACGCATCAATAAGTACAATACAATCATTTAAAAGTGATGCTTCTTAAATGGGCCATTCTGCATGCTTTTACTTTTGTTTCTTAAAGTATATTTTGATGCTAACACTTTTTTACTTTTACTTGAGTACAACTTTGCATGCAGGTCTTTTACTTCTAACTGAGTATTTGTTTACACTGTAGTATTGCTACTTTTACTTATGTAATTAACCCAAACACTTTTGTGCACATCTGACAGTACACGCCACGCTTCATCGTTCCCTATGTCACGTTATGTCATCATCCTTCTAGCAATGTCATGCTTGACATTGCTAGAAGGATGATGACATAACGTGACATAGCCTAACAATCGTATTGGGTGTGTGTTTTTTTGGTATGTGTTTGCGTCTAAACACAAACACATACAAAAAACACACACACGCAATACGATTGTTAGGCTATAGTTTTAGTCAGGTCATCTCAAACATACACACCCACAGTCTGTGTGAATCTTCATTCTAAAGGTCATCCATCATTCTTCTCTATGGAGGAACGCTGCTAAATATGCTAGCTGGCTACTGCTATGCCGTTCCCTGACATGGCAGGGACAAACCACGCTGCCAAACCGAACCGAGCGTTGCTGTTACGGATACAATGCAGTTAACGAAGTCGAATTTGAAATATGTTACCTTGATAGTGCAGGTTTGGCTACAAGTGAGTAGCTCTGTCTGACTGCTCGCGCACACAAGCTCGCCATTTCTTAAATATACAGCACTGTGAGTTACTCGCTGTAACCACGCTGACCTCTTACATCTATGACGCTGTGGCAGCAGCGTGCAGTTTCAGCCAATCATGAAACAAAGTCCCTCCCTTTCCGGTGGACCTCCATGGGACCTTATTTCGCAAAAGATATGTATTGAAGTCAATGGAGAGAGAAAGATTATCTTTTTATCCCGTTTGAATTGAGCCACGAATTACACATATGATGTTTGTCAATTTAAAAGATAATTTTGCAAGTCAAAAAAATAAAAATGTGTCGTAAAACTGTGAAGTAACACTATTTTTTGTGTGAAACCGCTCAATGAACTACATCTCCCGTCTCGCACCACACACCAAGACGGCCGTCACGTTGGCACATTTCACCTCTTTCTTTCAGAATGAGGCGGAAAGTATTAAAAGAGGTGAAAATCACTATAAGTCTGGGCATGTTGAGAGCTGTCCATACACACAAGGGGAGTTAGTCGGTTCCGTAAGAGCCAGCATGCAGGACCGGGATTCTGGGATTTGTAGTCTTTCTTGTTGCATATTTTTCATAGTCTTATATTTCAACAGTTTTACGACAAACTGTGACTTTTTTGACATGGAAATTATTTGTTAAGATTGACAAACATCATATGTGTAATTCGTGGCACAATTCAAACGGAATCGAAAGATAATCGTTCTCTCCCCATTGACTTCAATACATAATTTTTCCGAAATAAGGTCCCATGGAGCTCCCCCGGAAAGGGAGGGACTTCGCCTCTCTATTTGACCGAATCAGATTCAGAAAAAACGTTGGCGACAAGTTGTAGTTTGGTTGAGTAGATTTTAAAGGTGAAAGCTACACATGTGACCCATGGCCATGGGCGTCATTTCCACTGGGGACAGGGGGGACATGTCCCCGCCACTTTTCCACATCCCGTATGTGTCCCCCCCACTTTCAAATTCGTTTGTTATTATTTTTTAGCCGCAGACGGCCCGTTATCGCCACGGAGTGACAGCCTACTATGGAAAGCCCAAAGTGCCATAATACGCGCGTATATTTCGCCCGTTTTAAAAAAAAAAACGGCTGTATATACGCGCGAATATAGGTCCCCGCCTCGGCTCCGCCTCTTTGCCCTTATTTGGAGCAGGCGGGAGTTAGACTCTGACGTCACTGTCGAGCCGTTAGTGGCCGACTCCGCCTCCTAAGGGCTTCTCGGCAACTCTGCAGAATCCTATGGGTGACGTCACGGACCCTACGTCCATTTATATATACAGTCTATGGTTTAAAGTCGGGGGAACTGTTTTAATTCAGTCATAATTGTCGTTTTTAGACGGTGTACATTGGACTCAATAAACAGACGGAGTTATGGACATAAACGTGTCAGTATAGACAGGACAATGTACATATTAATCATATTTAATTTGTTAAATGTACAAGAAACTAAAAAAAGCAGAATCACTGCTTTAAGCAGCATATCACACTCACAGGCAGACATACACCCAGGGGGGAACAGATATCACTTGTACCCAGACATAAGTGCCTGAATCATGGGGCACATTAGTGTTTAAAGTCGTGGGAAATGTTTTAATTCAGGAGGTTTTAAGTGTGGTTTCACTTCTAGCTCACACCCAGAGTGAAAAGATAACATGTTTACCCCGCTAAAGTGTTCAAAACATGGGTATATTAGTGCTCAAACTCGAAACTTAAACTGTTTTAATTGCGGAGGTTTTACGTTTTGGTTCACTCGTCTCACACACCCAGAGTGTTAACAACATTTTTACAAATTTTATAAATTAGTCTAGAGCTCCATCTATTGTAATTTGAGTGTATTACACGTCTGTCCATGGAACGCGAGTAAACTGATAGGCAGCTGGAGTAACATGTACATTGAGACGCATTGGGACCGATTGGGACATATCATCGTCACTTTCAATGTTAACCTTGTACATAGGAGGCACAATACGCTTACTCTCAATATTGTCTGTAAAAACGTGGTAAAAGTTATTCTTTCAGTGAGAGTGACCCTATTCTATTCTATGTCGTTGGTTGGCATAATACATTGGACTTGAAGCAAACTAACAACGTGTCTGTTTTCTTGTCTGATATTTTCCCCATATGTGGGGCATAACAGATGCAATCAGGTAATTAGGACAGAGCCTCTGTTTTTAGATCGGGTTTGTGGCCATGCTGTAGGCCTGACGTTTAAAATAAAAATCTTATCTGTTAAGATGAATGTTTTATTTAAAAGGTTTTTATTTATTTGTTTAAGGAGGGACCCCAGAGCCAAGGGCAGGCCGAGCAGACCGCCTTCTCCCGCCGCAGTCTGTGCGGGGAGCGGCGCCGTGCCCAGGTACTCCCCGTTCTGCACCACGGTGATGCTGCTATCATCGCTCGTCTCCTCCGGCGGTGCCCTCGGCTCCCTCCGCAGCCACACTGCCCAACACAATTCAAAAACCTTTATTTATCCAGGTGAAATCCCATTGAGATCATTGATCTCTTTTTCAAGGGAGACCTGCACACTGGAGATCACTATCCCGTCGGGGGTCGCCAGTCTCTGGTACTGTTATTTTGGGGGTCGCGGGCTGAAAACTCTCATCATACTTAATCGATAGTAGCACATGGTATATATTGTACGACTTTGTTATTGTTGAATGTTTATGTATTTGCTCATAGCCTACTGTGCCTTTCACACAGACAATAAAAGTGAATTTTGAAATGACAAATAGGTTTATGTTTCAAGTTTATTTGCATTAAAAACGTGTTTTTAAACCCTTCTGTTCAAAGTTGATATTTTGTTTCTTAAAAGATTAAATCTTTAAAAACATGCTGCCATTTTTAAAGTTTGATGGAAGAAATTAAATATAGGTCACTGACATGGAGCTTTAGGCCTGCAATGCTTTAAAAAAAATGTTGTTGGTGTTTCAGTTTTGAAGAGTGAATATGGATGTTAAATTCACAAATTAGTATGAACAGGATCTTGAGCCATGAAGCCTGTTTTTAAAGTACAGAAACATTTAGAATGCATGACGATTCCTTCAAAGGTTTTGTAATAGACGCCTAGTACTCTTAATTTATAAAGTAATAATACATGTGAATTATTGAGCTCATTACTGGCCTGACTTTAACAACTATATTTAGATGTTCATAAATATCTACATTTATCTATAAATACATGTGTAGCAGTTAGACAAACATAATGAATAGATCTCATTATTACCTATTTTATGTGTACTAAAAAATTAAGTTTACTAAGCCCCCTTTTTGTTTTGATATATTAGACAAAATCATTTGTGCTTAAAGTCATATACTGTTGTGTCTCAAACGGATAGACTACTAGATTATTAATTAATTTGCCTAATAGTTGCTTAAAATGCTACAATAATAATACACCTCGTAGCGCCAGCTATTCACATTAAACTACACTACGAGAGCCCCTTTACCCCAACCACCAACCTTAACCCAGGGGTTGTTCAGAATGTGCTATTGTATGCAACCATAGCGGAATCTGAACGACGCCGGACATCAAAGTCAAAGAATATTCATATAAAATCAAATATACCATTGACGCATTTGATATGCACAGCACATCTTCCCTGGCACACCTAGTACACTGGTGTAACGTTTCAGAGCTCCAGAAAAAGGCTTTCAAGAAAAAAAACACGGCGGTAGGCTAACACCCCACAGACTCCCAAAAGGCCCCACTGCCTTAACATTCAAAGATTCTTCAAAAATACACACAGCAACCCAGGTGCACAATTTGCACTGTGCTCCATCGTCATGTTCTCTACTGCTCCCACCTGCAATGTCAGCGTTCTGCCTGCCTGCTTTTAGCGCCATTCTAGGCACCAAAAAGCACTGCAGTACACGTCCATTAACATGTTGCTTTCTTGCTGTCTCCCACTTGCTGTCTGTCCCTGGTCCTGCCTGCTGTCCCTGCATGGCCCTGCTCCTCCCCTGCCTCCCTCCCGGCCATTCCCAACGCACCAGGGTTCGATTCAACTGCACAAGGCTGGCTGGTGTGAACGTGACCTAAAACGAGGTATTAATTCCTTCACAAAACAAACAATGCCAGAACCATCAATGACAGATTTATTTATTTGAAAGGCGTGTTTCAACTGCAGTTACAAAAACACTCACTTACTGTCCATTCACTTAACTCTACATTAACTCTCTACCCACTGGATGTCATTTATCCAATGCAATCAAAATGTTAATATTGAGAGTCTGATACAAGCAAAAAGCACTGCTGCACATTAACATGGCTGCCGATCTCTGACCTCCTGGGTTAACTCTTCCTTGTTTTCAAAATAGTTTCATTAGTATCACTATTATCAGGGGATATAGAAGTGATGTGGAGCACACCTGCTCCCTGTAAATACACACTGTGCTCAATTTGGGGGAGGATATTGCGCCCTCTGTCGAAATGTATTCAAATGTGATATTCCAAAAGTGCTATTTCTGCATCTCTAGCACTTTCTGAACATAAAAGTCAAAGAGTGTGTGTGTGTGTGTGTGTGTGTGTGTGTGTGTGTGTGTGTGTGTGTGTGTGTGTGTGTGTGTGTGTGTGTGTCTCCCCTGTCTCTCAGGTGTGTGGTCATCGCTTCGTTAAACTCTACGGAGCATTTAAACTCAAGAACATGATTGGACGCTGGTATATCCGTGCAAACGACCTGAAGTACAACCACACCGACCTCACCTGGCAGAACCTGGAGCAGACCTGCAGGTACACCTGAGAGACTGTGTGTGTGTGTGTGTGTGTGTGTGTGTGTGTGTGTGTGTGTGTGTGTGTGTGTGTGTGTGTGTGTGTGTGTGGCAATACTCTGACACACATACATAAGTCCTGCATTTAAAATGATGAAGTCTCTCATAAGCATACCCCTTACCCCAAACAATTATCCTAAACATAGCCGTAGGTCCGAGGTGTTTGAGCACGGTCTCGTTTGAACCGGCTCAGAGAGTAAATGTCGTTTGACCCCTCTGTTCTACCTAATGTCAAAGGTCAAGCCTTAAAACAGGAAATGTGATATTCCAAAAGTGCTATTTCTGCATCTCTAGCACTTTCTGAACATAAAAGTCAAAGAGAGTGTGTGTGTGTGTGTGTGTGTGTGTGTGTGTGT